CCATTTTAACAATGCCGTGTAGATAGATAGAGCTATTGAAATTCGAGTAGGGTAGCAAAAAAGGCCTCGCAACAAGGCATTTTCTTCGACGTCAGCGTTTAGCGTACCGCCATCTTGAATTTTTTAAATGGTAACGTAGGTCGAATGATATATCAGGGAAAAGCTTATTTTTCCTCTTTTCAAGAATACTAAAAAAAAGTACCACATTACATTAAAATTACTTGTTACCTACCAGACTTTCGCTACGCTGTATGTATAGGATTAGAAATAACAATACTAATGTAATACAGTCTCATCATTACCCTACAATTTAAATGTCTGACGGGAATTTAAAAAAAATGTTGCTCGGTATGTAATATATTATTCCAAAGTATCTAGGTAGGCCATAATACTATAATACTATAATACTATAATACTATAATACTATAATACTATAATACTATAATACTATAATACTATAATACTATAATACTATAATACTATAATACTATAATACTATAATACTATAATACTATAATACTATAATACTATAATACTATAATACTATAATACTATAATACTATAATACTATAATACTATAATACTATAATACTATAATACTATAATACTATAATACTATAATACTATAATACTATAATACTATAATACTATAATACTATAATACTATAATACTATAATACTATAATACTATAATACTATAATACTATAATACTATAATACTAATATAATACTATAATACTATAATACTATAATACTATAATACTATAATACTATAATACTATAATACTATAATACTATAATACTATAATACTATAATACTATAATACTATAATACTATAATACTATAATACTATAATACTATAATACTATAATACTATAATACTATAATACTATAATACTATAATACTATAATACTATAATACTATAATACTATAATACTATAATACTATAATACTATAATACTATAATACTATAATACTATAATACTATAATACTATAATACTATAATACTATAATACTATAATACTATAATACTATAATACTATAATACTATAATACTATAATACTATAATACTATAATACTATAATACTATAATACTATAATACTATAATACTATAATACTATAATACTATAATACTATAATACTATAATACTATAATACTATAATACTATAATACTATAATACTATAATACTATAATACTATAATACTATAATACTATAATACTATAATACTATAATACTATAATACTATAATACTATAATACTATAATACTATAATACTATAATACTATAATACTATAATACTATAATACTATAATACTATAATACTATAATACTATAATACTATAATACTATAATACTATAATACTATAATACTATAATACTATAATACTATAATATAATACTATAATACTATAATACTATAATACTATAATACTATAATACTATAATACTATAATACTATAATACTATAATACTATAATACTATAATACTATAATACTATAATACTATAATACTATAATACTATAATACTATAATACTATAATACTATAATACTATAATACTATAATACTATAATACTATAATACTATAATACTATAATACTATAATACTATAATACTATAATACTATAATACTATAATACTATAATACTATAATACTATAATACTATAATACTATAATACTATAATACTATAATACTATAATACTATAATACTATAATACTATAATACTATAATACTATAATACTATAATACTATAATACTATAATACTATAATACTATAATACTATAATACTATAATACTATAATACTATAATACTATAATACTATAATACTATAATACTATAATACTATAATACTATAATACTATAATACTATAATACTATAATACTATAATACTATAATACTATAATACTATAATACTATAATACTATAATACTATAATACTATAATACTATAATACTATAATACTATAATACTATAATACTATAATACTATAATACTATAATACTATAATACTATAATACTATAATACTATAATACTATAATACTATAATACTATAATACTATAATACTATAATACTATAATACTATAATACTATAATACTATAATACTATAATACTATAATACTATAATACTATAATACTATAATACTATAATACTATAATACTATAATACTATAATACTATAATACTATAATACTATAATACTATAATACTATAATACTATAATACTATAATACTATAATACTATAATACTATAATACTATAATACTATAATACTATAATACTATAATACTATAATACTATAATATATAATACTATAATACTATAATAATACTATAATACTATATACTATAATACTATAATACTATAATATACTATAATACTATAATACTATAATACTATAATACTATAATACTATAATACTATAATACTATAATACTATAATACTATAATACTATAATACTATAATACTATAATACTATAATACTATAATACTATAATACTATAATACTATAATACTATAATACTATAATACTATAATACTATAATACTATAATACTATAATACTATAATACTATAATACTATAATACTATAATACTATAATACTATAATACTATAATACTATAATACTATAATACTATAATACTATACTATAATACTATAATACTATAATACTATAATACTATAATACTATAATACTATAATACTATAATACTATAATACTATAATACTATAATACTATAATACTATAATACTATAATACTATAATACTATAATACTATAATACTATAATACTATAATACTATAATACTATAATACTATAATACTATAATACTATAATACTATAATACTATAATACTATAATACTATAATACTATAATACTATAATACTATAATACTATAATACTATAATACTATAATACTATAATACTATAATACTATAATACTATAATACTATAATACTATAATACTATAATACTATAATACTATAATACTATAATACTATAATACTATAATACTATAATACTATAATACTATAATACTATAATACTATAATACTATAATACTATAATACTATAATACTATAATACTATAATACTATAATACTATAATACTATAATACTATAATACTATAATACTATAATACTATAATACTATAATACTATAATACTATAATACTATAATACTATAATACTATAATACTATAATACTATAATACTATAATACTATAATACTATAATACTATAATACTATAATACTATAATACTATAATACTATAATACTATAATACTATAATACTACTATAATACTATACTATAATACTATAATACTATAATACTATAATACTAATACTATAATACTATAATACTATAATACTATAATACTATAATACTATAATACTATAATACTATAATACTATAATACTATAATACTATAATACTATAATACTATAATACTATAATACTATAATACTATAATACTATAATACTATAATACTATAATACTATAATACTATAATACTATAATACTATAATACTATAATACTATAATACTATAATACTATAATACTATAATACTATAATACTATAATACTATAATACTATAATACTATAATACTATAATACTATAATACTATAATACTATAATACTATAATACTATAATACTATAATACTATAATACTATAATACTATAATACTATAATACTATAATACTATAATACTATAATACTATAATACTATAATACTATAATACTATAATACTATAATACTATAATACTATAATACTATAATACTATAATACTATAATACTATAATACTATAATACTATAATACTATAATACTATAATACTATAATACTATAATACTATAATACTATAATACTATAATACTATAATACTATAATACTATAATACTATAATACTATAATACTATAATACTATAATACTATAATACTATAATACTATAATACTATAATACTATAATACTATAATACTATAATACTATAATACTATAATACTATAATACTATAATACTATAATACTATAATACTATAATACTATAATACTATAATACTATAATACTATAATACTATAATACTATAATACTATAATACTATAATACTATAATACTATAATACTATAATACTATAATACTATAATACTATAATACTATAATACTATAATACTATAATACTATAATACTATAATACTATAATACTATAATACTATAATACTATAATACTATAATACTATAATACTATAATACTATAATACTATAATACTATAATACTATAATACTATAATACTATAATACTATAATACTATAATACTATAATACTATAATACTATAATACTATAATACTATAATACTATAATACTATAATACTATAATACTATAATATAATACTATAATACTATAATACTATAATACTATAATACTATAATACTATAATACTATAATACTATAATACTATAATACTATAATACTATAATACAAGTATTATGCCCGAGCTAAGAACTGAATGTCATTTCAAAAAGAAATGACGGAAACTTTCCTGAAAAACTATAGATTACTCATATGGATAGCGGATCGCTCTAGCGGGTATGGCTCATAGATTGATAATAGAGAAACGTTCGGAAGAGCTAATAATTTTTAAGTTTATGTAGAACAAAGCGATGTCCTCTGAGTTTTGATTCGTTATTTGGACGTATAGCCCTTCTCTAAATGGCGCCATCTAATTCACTGACCGCCCCCCGTTTCTGACTACAGAGATCGCGTAACTTTAATTTCCCCATTATAAAATCTTTCTCGTTTCAATCTAATATTAGTCATATTCAAATTTGAACCCGGAAAAATAAATCGACGAATATTTTTTATCGTTTTTATGATTTGCTATGGTCGTAACTCTGCAAATCATTGTGGGAAAAAACGTTTAGTACAACACAAAACACTGGGCCCGAGCTCTAGAACGACCGAAAAGCGGCGGAAAGAGATCTAAAAATACTCTAGAGCGTTGTCACGCTTTGAGATGCCAATAATAATGTTCGAAATAAGGCCTGAATCAGTTTCAGATTCTGTATATTCCTTACGTATCATGTCTAGCGGTGTTGGGATTTAAAAATAATTGACTACTAGAAGGAATTTCCAATTTTTTTGTGAAACGGAATTGTTACTGATGCGAGAGTGATGTGATCATTTAGGTGAAAAATTTTTGCTATATAAAAACTGTGTCAATGTGCATCTAGTGATCTAGTGCTAAATTGTGACATCTATTAATTATAAGGTAGCTATTTGTGGATTATATTTAATGTTCTTGGTAATTTTAGACAGTATGCGTTTTAAAATTTAATTCCAAGAATTAGAATAGCAATAATATCACATCAAAGAGGAACAAATAATAACTTTTTAATTCTTTCCTTTCTACGCTATTCTGCATTTTGAAAGAGTTCTTAAATGTATCTATCGGTCAGATTTTTTACTAAATAATGTAAAGTCAGGAATTCCCCAGTGTTTAAATTTAGGCCGCACTCTGTCCTTTTTTTATCAACGATTTACCAACCTCATTCTAAAATTCAAATTACGAAACTACTTTTGCTGATTATCTTATGTCTTAAAAATATATAAATAAGAAGTTAAAGCAGTTAGAAGTGTGGAATTACAAGTTACAGTCGCTGAAAAGAACTATATTATGCGTAAAAAGGCTAAAAATCTGTACACACGAATTTAGGCGGTTTCTATTACAAAATTCAAATGTTCCATAAACTGAATCAAATCCATGTTATTAAACAGTTTTGAAGATGGCAGTCGTTAGTATATATTTTATAGATTTTTAGCGGTTATTTCTAGTCCTGAAGAACATATGCTGTGGGGTACCGTTTCTCCTTCCATTAAGTACTCATGATGCAGATGTTTTGTAAATGCTTTAGAAACTACTGTAGGATTGTATGATACGAAATCTGCTTTGACATGCTTTAAAGATTCTATTTGACAAGAAATCCTATTTTTTGATGCCTTAGAATCTTCTAGAGGATAAGCAATCTGTTTTGTACATACTATAGAGGCTTCTGTATGATAATAAAACTATTTTATACATAGCTTGGAGCTTCTGCAACAGGTATGTTTTGTACATGCCCTAAAATATTTTGGGGGACTGTAGAACAAGATATTTGTTTTGCACATACCTTAGAAGCTTCTGTGGAGCAATACATTTATTTTACTTATGCCTTGGAGCTTCTGTAGGACTGTCGGAAAACAAATATGTTCTGTACATACCTTGTGGAAACTACAGAACAAGATATCTGTTTTGTACATACATTAAAAGCTACTATATGATAATAAATCCTTTTTGTAGATGCCTTAGAAGCTTCTGTAGAACAAGCAATCTCTTTTGTACATACTGTAGATGCTTCTGTATGATAATAAATCTATTTAATTCATACATTGGAGCTTCTGTAGGACTCTCGGATAATAAATAACAATATATCTGTTTTGCACATGCTTTATTAGAAACTTCTGTAGGACAATACATTTATTTTGTACATGCTTTGAAGCTTACTGGAGGGTTGGGGAACTGTAATCTGCTTTGCCATGCTTAAAAGCTTCTATATGACAAGAAATCATTTTTGTAGATGCCTAAAAAGCTTCTGTAGAACAAGCAATCTGTTTTGTATATGCTATATATGCTGTATGATAATAAATCTATTTTATTTTAGAGCTTCTGTAGGACTGTCGGATAAAAAATATGTTCTGTACATGTCTTAGAAGATTATGAGAACTGTAGAACAAGATATCTGGTTTTCACATTCCTTAAAAGCTTCTATATGACAATTTTTTTAGTAGATGCCTTAGAAGCTTTTGTAGAACAAGCAATATATTTTATATACATGCTGTATAAGCTTCTGTATGATAGCAAATCTATTTTATACATGTCTCAAAGCTTCTGTAAGACCGTCGTACATTTTTTGTACTTCCCTTTGAAGCTTGTGAAGACTGTAGAACACGATATATGTTTTGCATATGCCTTAGAAAATTCTGTAGAGCAATAAATCTATTTTGTACACGTCTTGAAGATTCTGTAGGAAAACAAATACCTTTGTTTTATACGTGCCTTGGATCGTTCTGAGGGGAATGGGGAAGGGTGATTGTAGGACAATATATCTGTTTTACACATGCCTTAGAAGATTTTTTAGAACAAGAAATGTATATGTACGAACACAGGACAGATTTCACTCACTTTACAGCAACCTCCATTTCAAAATATTTTAGATAAGTTTTTGTAAAATTTGTTGAAGTTTATAAGTAGACAATAGGCAATACATATCTGTTTAATATTCTGTGGAATGAAATTAAAAACCATCTTATATTTGTTATAGTGTGAAGGTAGATGTTTAATGGTATTTGTATATATATATATATATATATATATATATATATATATATATATATATATATATATATATATATACTTGAAATAATTTAAGTATTTCGCTTCTGCCGTAACCTATATTTTCAAAATGCAGCGTATTACCGTAATTTTCTATGAGAAATCATGTTTCTTTTAATGTCGAACACCTGTTTTACGATACTGAGTATAGACAGATGTGAATTTAATGTGTTCTTATTTCCAATAATACAAATCCATCACAATCTGCAAACCTAATGGAAATATCGCTAAGAAAACATAACATTATTGAACATATAAATCAGTTCATAAAAGTTACAATTAATTAATATACCTTCATAATATTTGCTTTAATAATTAACGAGAATAATAAAGGAAAAAATCTATAGTCTATAAGAGTGGTTTTATGGTATTTTTTTTTAGAAATTATGATTATAAAAATGATCTTAAATCATAGTCAAGTATTTGTTTGCTGTAGTGTTGTCAGGATAAATTAAAAGCCTCCTGGAAAGTCTGCAACTTCTTGTTTCATCCCATCTTTCCTTGAATTTCACAAAGGAATGTTCTTTAATTAGGTTTGTCACTACCCATGTTGTCAGTCCAATATAAGGACTAGGTTCAAAAAGTATTTGGTTGGCTGCCTTCTTGGCTAGTGAATTAGCAAGACGGTTACCTTTCGATGTGGCGTGACAGTTGATCTATCTTAAGTTGACCACATTGTTGATGGATATTTCGGCCAAAGCTTCGTAACATTCTAGTACTAACCCTGAGTAAATTTGTGGTCTGTCCAGGGTGAGTAGTGCTTGTCTGCTATATGTATAGATGAGCATGTTACTTCTAGTGATATTATTTCTGGTGATTTCTTTTGCTGTTGTGAAAATCCCCGTGAGCTCGGTTTGAACTACACTGACACACTACTGCTTACAGCCCATTTTATTTTTATATTCCACATCCTGAGCCTTGTTTTGTTTTAGAAACGTCGGTGTAGATATGAATCGTACCTGCCACTTCCGACTCTTCTATTTGTTCTGTTATAACTTTATATAGCTTATGGACGTCTTGCCTCACCAGCTTCTACAACAGGTTCTATTCCAACTGTGTGAAGGCGTGTTATTGTCATCAGAGCAGCCTCCTTGATGTAAATATCAAGGGGAATGAGACTAAGAATGACTTCCATGGCTCTGGTCAGTGTGGTTTTCATGGCTCCTGTTATGTTGCGACATGCTGTTTTTTGAATTTGTTGTAGTTAGCGGATATCTGTCAATTTTTGGTTTTCGGGGTATCCAGGGAAAAAACCCAAATTCGCGCCACGGTTCGACGACATTGGTTCATAAGCAATGTATGCTTTTTTACTGTATTTTATAGGTGTGAGTTCTATGTTATATTGGTGGCAAAGGTGAGACATAGGTACTTCGCTTCTGTTGCACAGTTTAGTTTTGTGTTTAGGAGCTCTGGAGGTGTAAATTCTATTTTCACCCTTTTTCTTGTGAAAAGGACCATTTCTGCCTTCTTGGGTTTACCACACAGTGATTATTCCTTGCAGCACTGTTCTATAATTTTGAGAACTACTTGCATTCTTTCGCAGAGTATGTTCTCAAAATTCCCTGTTTGCAGAATAACTAGGTCATCTGCATACGCTATTGTGCAGTGACTGTGATTATTGAGGCAGCTGATGAAGGTGCAGAGGACTATCCTTCACATTAGAGGTAATAACATCCATCCCTGTGGACATCCCCTCGCAATCAAGCCTCTTATATTCACATTTTCTACACTTATGTTTACTGTTCTCATTGAGAGCATGTTATGTATCCACCCTAACCATCTGTGGAATATTCTTGTTGTTTATTTAGTGTATTATCTTGGAAAAGGTCGTCTAATCAAAATAACTTTCTATATCTATGAAAACACCCAAGGCGGACTCTTTATTGTACATGGATCTCTCTATCCGGCAAGCAACTAGGTGAAGGACTGAATCAGTAGATCCGCCTGGGGTGTATGCATGTTGATTTGGGTGTTGTTGTAATCACTACATCCCTTATGTACCTTTCGCATAGCCTTTCTAATGTCTTCATGGAAAACAATGTCAGGGTAATTGGTCGGTATATTTTTGGAAAAGTGTAATCCATCCTTCCAAGTTTGGGAATGACGACTACTTTTAAAGCTTAACTATGTAGCTAAGAAAAATATGTAAAATATTACATACACTAGTAGCGCCAGGGGCTGGAACGAAACAGGAGCGGAGTTTTTAAATGACATTTAAGCTTGTTGAACTATCACTAATCGTTTGGAGTTAAAAGAGTTAAAGGAGTGAATGGAACTTACCTACTAAATATCTGAAGTAAAAGTTGACCACACCTCGAGGACGCCATAATCATTTCTGGAACGTGTCATGTCATCATGTCCAAGAACGTTGTGGGTATGACCGTTAACGAAATAACGTTTTTGAAATAAGGGCGTGCTTTTTATGGACGGTAGACATCACAATACAGGGTGTTCCATCTCAGATGAACTACCCCGTATGTTTCTTATCCCATAGTAATTGGAAAAATTTCCCGAAACACGTCGGATGATTTTCTTTGGGGGACATCTTTTGACGTATATTTGAGGCTTGAACGAGGAACCCCCTATGTGGGAGCACTTCAACCCCTCAAAATTGAATAGGGAAGAGGGGTTGAGTGATACTTCATTTGTAAGGTCTTCGAAGCCTCTTTACAACGGTGTATGAAAAAAATCACATTCTTAAAAAAAATAATTGTTTTATCATGCTTACAATCAAAAAAATCAAAATTGCGTTTTTAAATCAAATGTTCAAATTGTCCTCCATTGACTTCCATACAATAATAAATTCTCTCGAACTAATAAATACAAAATATCAACACATT